TATATATCCACACACATACATACATACATACATACATAACAGCTACTGTGTTCATACCAAATAATGCTTTTTAATTTTTTTTTTGTCTTTGCAACATTTGGTAGCTGACCTAAGTTTTATTCTTAGTGAGTGAGGGTTCTAGTTGATGAAATACAATTTTGTTGAATCTGTTGAAATACAGTACTTAACTCTTGTTGATCAAAATTATTTCTCTTGATAAAAGAAAGATGTTTGGGGACATTCATATAGAAGTTTTCATTATGAATATCAATTATCAAGTTTGTCCAGCAGTTATAAAAATTGCATCTCTTTTTAGATGTTTGTTTCACAGATAGGAATGCACTTAGTGGTTTGTTTGTTTGTTTATTTATAATGGTCTGTACTCTGGCTGTTTGTTGCTTTTAATGCCAAAAATTTGTGGAGGCTCTGAAAATTTAAATATACTTTTGTCAGAATATTTTTTTAAGAAAAGTTCAAAGAGATTCACATATCATTTTTTAACTTAAAGATTTTATACCAGGACTTGTCTTTGCATAATTAATTTATGTGTCGGGTTTAATACTGATAAACTAGATGTCATATATCACCCAGTGTTCTTGGTAATTTGGATTCTTAAAAAATAGTGTTGTACATTGATATTAACATGTATTCTGGGTAGGCTTATGTGATACTTTTATAAGTGGATACTGTAATATATTAGTGCTTTAATATTGCATAAGGAATTAAATAAATTCTACACATATATTATCACATTCTAAAAGGATAATTGAATTTTAGAGATGAACACAGGCACTTAAGTATAATGATTACTGAAGAATCAGTAAAGGCAGATGGTTTTACCCTCTGATACTTCTCATTGTGTGTTTTTTTTTTTTTTTTTTGGTTGGTTTTGTTTTGAAAGTTAAAGTCTGATTTTGAGATAAGCAGCAATACACTGACATTAATATCATTGGACTTTTTGCATTTTATAAGAGAATAATAACCTATTCAAACTGTTATATAATTATAGTACTTTCTGTTTACTTGAAGAGTTAAAAATCTAAAGCTTTTGCATATAAATAAAAATCTGTAGACTAACTTAATAAATTCCTTTTCAAATTTTCTATTTTCAACTATCTCAAGAAAATAACTCAGTCTAACCCACCCAGTTGTCAGCAGTAATTGGAAGTAATTCTTATTGTTTAACTAGTATGTTTTGTTTGTATGCATAGTTTCATCATTGTGTTAGACCTTCCATACTCGAAAAATATTTTAAGATACTTTTATGTTATTCTAAATTTAGTGCATTAATTTTCTCACTCTACTTTTGCAGCATTTTCAGTTAGCTTTGGTTGACTGTAACCCCTGCACTTTGTCCAATGCTGAAAGTAAGTATTATTAAGTACCTTTGTTTTCTACATGTATTCAGATCTTTTTGTGGCACTAGTAATAATAATAATAATGTAAATGATAAATTTTACATAACTTTTTTCTTCAGTTGAGTATAGCTGTGTTGGTTGTCTTGGCTACTTGGATAAATAGAACATATGAGACCAAATATTGTAAATAACCTGTGTGTAAAATAGGCCAGTGAAGTGAGTTGTTGAATTAAAATGATCTTCACTAATAAACAAGACTGATTTTGATTGTGCATTAATTATATTGTAGATGACTTTGGGGGGACTAAACACAGGGTTTGCTAGTCTTTTAGGAAAAATGAGTACCCAAATATTGTTATGTAGTAGCTCACTAATTTCTGCTGTGTGGTATTAAGATTACTGGTAATTATGAAGATATACTTTGACTTTTTTTTTTTTTTTTTTGGAGAGATTTTCACTGTAGGGCGCGTGCGCTCGCCAGACAGACAGAGAGAGACATAGAGACAGAAAGCGAGAAATCACCCCCCAGGGGGGATGGTCACGCCGCAATCCCTTCTCCTCCATTCTCCTCTCGGGATCTTGGGCCCGCACGCACACGCGCCCGGCGTGAGTTTTTTAAGCCACTGGGTCCGGGACACGAACCGCGGTCGACTACGTGGGAGTCCAGCGACATAGCCATTACGCTAACTGCTGGTTCCCTACTTTGACTTTTTATAGTTTTATACATCATATACAAAGTTAGAGGTGCCAATTTTTTCACTTAATTAAATTACAATGTGTTTGTGAGGCATGTTCTGATATAGTAGTTTTCTTCAATGAAGTATTTTCTGCTTCCATGCAGATTTCTTTCCAAAAGCAGAATGGGTTGATTATAATGTGTTTATGTTTAAGTATATATTGGAATGTTGGTTTATTGAGTATACTTTGAAGTATCTAATAAAAAGTTTTAAGACTATTGATTGACTTTAGACTGATTTTCTTAAAAATTTTCTTACTTGAAAAATAAAATTTTAATTAGAGCATAAGAAAAACTGAACAATTAAATGAAAAATTTAGGTCATTTAAAAGATTGAAAATTTTAGAAGACAGTATTTTGTTGTAAATTACTTTTTAAAAGACAGTAGAGGAATGGGTTGGTGAAAAGCAGTCTCAGCTTCTAAGGAAATTGTTCAATCAGTGAAAAAAGATTGCTGTTTTCTTTAAATGAAACTCAGGATTTGTTACTGATCAGGGTATTTATTTGCAGAGTCAATGGTGAAAAGGTAACAAATGTAATATTTTACAATTACTATGATAAGGTTAGATTTGAAAGATCACATTGACTTATTTATGAAGTGTTAATATATGCTTGTTTTTTTTAAATAATTATTTTATTCTACTTTATTTATATATTTATTTTTATTTGACCAGAGAGGGACAGAGAGAGAGAGAGAGAGAGAGATAAAGCACTTGAACCATGGTCAGACATATGGGAGTCCAGTGCCCTTAATGACCACGCCACCTGCTGGCTGCAATATATGCTTGTTTCTTAATTATATATTCCAGGTTATATAAACCTATCTAGAATATAGATCATCCTTAAAATCCTTTTAAAATCAGTTTATGGAAATAAGTAGCTGATACTGTTACTCTGTTTATTACTGTCTAGTACCTTAAAGCTAACTTTAGTAACTATTTGTCAGTTTGAATGATGACTTTTGAGTGATATTTCATAATTGTTAAAATAAATATTTTCATAAATTCTCATTTTATTCTACTCCATGGAGGTTAACTCTCAATTATTTATCATTACTCTTAAAAAGAAAACACCTACAGAGGTAGAACGAGGGCCAAAGGGCAAAAAACTTTAATTTTGAATTTGATGAGAACATTCTGAACCATCATGAATACATCTTCTAGTCTACTCGGTCTCTCTTTATGTTAATTATTGAGAAAGGAAATAGGTGGGAAGGTGACCATCAACAGTTTTGCCAAAGATCGAGCATTCCCTGGGATTTTTAGTGCTGAAAGCACTCTAATGGGAAGATATGTGCTTTATTTAGAAACTTTAGGCTATTTTAGTTCATTTGATTTGGGTTGTTTATTTTAGATGGCCTATGTGATTGTTCAAGAACCATAATAAAGCCAGGTATATCACAGAGCACTAACAAATGTAGAGTACCAACTTTGAGCCAGTATTGCTATTTTAAAACAGGCTCCTTACTGTCTTTAAGAAGCTTATTTCTCTTTGAATTTTATATGTCATCACTGATTTGTGTATACTATAGACATTGACAGTTTTTTAAATCCTTCCATGCTACGTTGTAATACCACAAAATCAGAAATATAAGTTATAAAATGTAAAGTGAGCCTTTAAAAATTACTCTCTGAGATAGTTTATGGTACCCTTCATTTAATAGTTAACAAATAGAGTCATCTGGTTGCCTGGTGGCTAAGGCAGCTGGATCCCACATGGCTGACTGTGAGGTTCGAATCCTGAACTCGGCTGAGTGGGTATGTGCCCAAAATCTGGAAAGGAAGGAGAAGGGATTGCAGCATGACTGCTCCCCATGGTGGGGTGCTTTCTCATTCCTTACGCCCTCTGGCTGTTCAGGTGCCCTCTGACGAGTTAAAAAAAAAAAAAGGCAGATATATTTACTGCTACTAGAGTTATTTAAGAGGGGTTAGTTACAGTTTATGGCTTAGGAAGTAGGATCATAGGAATGTGTCACTTTTCATGATTGACTCAGTATAAAAATGGTTTCTTCTAGTATTAATCTATTTTGTTAATTTTTAAAATAATATATTATTTTCCAAATAAAGTTTAATTTCACAATTTTTTTTATGACAGTCTTTGTTAAACATTTCTACCTCTAATTGAGATTTGCTAAGTGGAGCTTTTTCTTAGTTGTATGATTATACTCTACTTTCAAGAGGACTCTTTGTTATTTGCCATCACATGAGTGTGCTAGCCAGAATAAGAAGGAAAGTGAGAAATCACCTCCCAGGGAGACTGCCAGATTGCAATTCCTTCTCCATCTTCCTCTTGGGATTCTGGGCACACATGCACATGACTCTCTGATTTTCAGGCTGACAAGTCCAGGTCTCAAACCAAGGTAGTCCATGTGGGAATCCAGCCCTTAATCACTATACCACTTGCTGGCCTCTGAAAAGGACTTTGTAAGAATTTAAATATATGATGGTTTTCATACTACAAAAGGTGACACTGAATTTAGTAACTCATGGGATAATTAGATCATTTTCCTAGGGCCTAAGACTGAGCCTGAAGAAAGTTTGGGATGATAGTATTAGAATGTTAGCTACCTGCTAATAGTTTTTTCCTTGATACCTTTATTAGAGGAGTAAGAAGATCAGGGAATGGGCATAGATTTTTTTCCATCTCTTCCTCGTTTCTTATCCTGTAAGGGTCTCCCTTTAACGAGCTAGTGAGGTGAGATTTGGACTGGAGCTCTTAAGGAGAGCTACATTGGAATAGTGGAGAAGGAAGAAAGCCCTCAACCCATGTAGGTAAAGGGTATGTGTGTGTGTGTGTGTGTGTGTGTGTAAACTTTTTTGGTGTGATGTTCATCTTCTAAAGGTGATATTTTTATTCTGTTTCATATCTAATGAGTTAATGTCTGACATGAGGAGACTTCACAAGGCTCATGGGAAATGGAATTAATGTACAAGTTTATTTTGGTGTAAAAATTTTTTGAAATCCATGCATGTATTTTTCAAAAGACCCATTTTCTGTGTGGACTTTTTGAAGATCTCTTATATTTAACTTATGGAGGAATATAGTACTTTTGGTCCAAAAAGTTGTTTGATTTTAAAGTTTATTATGTTTTTTTGCTAATCTTGCTCTTATGATGAATAACTTGTAGTTATATAGTTTAGTTGTCCACAAGTGTTGATCTTGGAAATAGACATCAGAATCCCTTGCAGAAATGAACGAAATGGCAGCTTTCCGGGCCTTGCCCAAGGTTTCTGAATTGTAATATTTTTAGAGAGAGAGATTTTTGCTATAGGGTGCATGTTGCTTGCCCGAGAGACAGAGACACAGAAAGTGAGAAATCACCTCTCCCCCCTCCCCCCATGGGGGAGGATAGCCACCCTGTAATCCATTCTCCTCTCGGGATTTTAGGCACACATGCACCCTGTGTGAGTTTCAAGAAGCTGGATCTTTTACTCCCAACTGAAGTGGGACACACGGGAGTCCAGTGCCTTCCTTAAGCGCTACACCACCTGCTGCCCCTATGAATTTTAATCTTAGGAATCTGTATCCTTAACAAGCCTCCCAGGTGAATCTTAACAGCTATGGAATCAGTGAGAAATTGATGATAGCTGTGACCTTGTCTAAACATCCACATAAACTGTTTGCATACCATTTTGAAATGCTTCTAGACTCCTTGATATATACAACTATGAAATCCAGGTAAATAGAAGAAAAGACAGATTTATCATTTAGAGGTGAAAATTACAGTATAATAACTACTATTAAGTTTTGATTTCTAGTTCATTATTGCTCTTTTGAATCATTCACATACTGGTGATAGCATATCAGGAAGAATTGAAAAATATAAGCGGAAACATTGTTTGTTAATTTGCTCTTCAGTATATGCTTGTTAATCTGGGAACTGTTTACTATTCTCACCTTCCAAATGGTTTGATTTTTTTTTTCCTTAAGTGATAAAGTTGATCTAATTTTAAAGAGCTGAAAGAGAAAAACAAATAATCTGCTTTGTGTGTTATTAATAGTATTTTCTTGGTCTATGACTTTTTTATAAATGTTTTTTATATGAAATGTGGTTTAAGAAAAAATTAGGGTTTTTTTTTTCTTCAATAAGCTTTTTATTAATATTATCTTTACTGTATTTTTTGACTTGGAACTCAGTTTTTAAAAACCATGTTTGGAAACATATAAAGGTTTTCTCTGCTTACTGTTGACATTTTTAGCTTTGTAAGGTGTATACTCACTTGCTACAGATTTTAATGTTAGTTTTATTGACAAATTTTATCTGATCAGTAGTGACTACATGTGGTTTCTTATCATGTTTGTGTTCTTTAGTATGTTTAGTATATTCTATTTTATTTTAAAAAAGTCATGTTCCTCTATTGCTTAAGTCTATATAGTATAGACTGTTTACGTTTTAGATTTTATGTCATTCTTAATTTATTCCAAACTCTGCTGTATTATTGATTTTTTATTTTCTGTTCTCCTTTACAGTTCAATTTCACATTGCCCACTTATATGAAACCCAGGTAAGTGTTTTAAATTAACATCTTTGTAACAGAAACAAAAATTACCTATATTATGCTTTAATGAAATCTGTTACATACATTTAATTTAATGAGGTCTGGGCATTACCTCATATACAGTTTATGTTTTATACTTGGTAAATGTGATCAAGGTGTTTATTTATTTATTTAAGTGAAACAGTTATTATTACACAGAGTACTTAATATCTACAAAGGATTTTTTATTTAACACAATATACCTCTGAACTTGATTCAAATAACTGATTTTTCTTATCCCTGATGCAAAATGTCTTGTTTTCTTTTTAAAATGGTTTTTGTAATGTATTGTTTTCAAATAATTTATTTTCCTTTTTCTAAAGATTCATATAGCTCTTTTCTGTGTTACCATTTTAAAGACATATTAGTGTCACCTCTTGATATTGTTACCATTACTTTCATGGCTGTTTTATTTTTAAAAGCTTTTCCAGTTTAACTTTAGAACATTTTTGTGTGTGTGGCAGATTTTGCTTAGTTGTATGATTAAAAAAGCATAACATTCATTTTGGGCAGTAGTATGGAAAATAAGGAATATATGTTAATTCTCACTAGTTGGTAAAGCTTAAAAATACAGGACTTCTCCCTTTCCATTCTATTATTAAAATGGTGGTTACTTTTGAATAGATATTCCAAAATGAAAGGGCCTAGAAGAATACACAGCAAAAAAGCCTTCTCTCTCCCATTCCCTTCCTGAAAGCCACTAGTGTTACCATTGGTTTTTGTATCCCTCTAGAGAAACTTGGTTTATACATACCAAGTCCATATAGATGTTTATACAATATTTCCCATTTTATTTTATTCAAATGATAGCTAATTATGTATTTTCTCTTCTGATCTCAGTTTAATTAACTTAATATTATATCTTGGAAAATATTCTATATCAGTACATCTAGATCTGCATTATATTCCTTTGCACAGGTTTACTGTAATTTAAATACTCCTTGAGGAATGGTTACCAATAATATTATGAACATTGTTTATAAAAATTTTTACTTTCTTTTTGAACATTATCAAGCAGTAATTTATTACTAAAACACTATAAACAGATCTTATTTGTATGTTATACAAATACAGAAATTCTAAATAAAGAAAAATAAATTTCAGCTTTTAGTAATTATGTAATGAATGTATAGGACTGAATTCATAAATTCAGTGATGAATAGATAAAAATCAGTGGAAGGAAAATGAACAGTATTGTGAGAAAGTTAATAAGGAAGATTTAGATAAAGAAATTGACAGTGGAGAAGACAGAAAAACAGTAGAACTAATTAATAGGTCAGAATCTTAGTATTCTGAAAAGATTAACAAAAACTACTTGATTAAAGGGATAAAAGGGAGAGAAAGCAAGATCCACAAAATAACATAACTATGGATTCAGAAGAAGTTAAAATAATCATGACAGGGACCAGCAGTTAGCATAATGGCTATGTCGCTGGACTCCCACATAGTCGACCGCGGTTTGCGTCCCAGCCCCGGTGGCTTAAAACTCACGCCGGGCGAGTGTGCATGCGTGCCCGCCCAAGATCCTGAGAGAAGAACGGAGGAGAAGGGATTGCACCAGCCCCCCTGGGTGGTGATTTCTCTCTTTCTGTCTCTCTGTCTGTCTGCCAAGCGCACGCACCCTATGGCAAAAACCTCTCAAAAAAAAAAAAATCATGAGAATACTTTATAGACATATATGCAAATGAATTTTAAAATACAATAAAAAGGACTATCTCCCAGGGAAATACAGATTAACAAAATTAACCTCATTAGAATGTTTATAGATTGACTTTTTTTTTTTTTTTTTTTTTTTTTAAGGGTTTTTTGTATAAGACGTGTGTGCGCTGGACAGAGAGAGACAGGGAGACAGAAAGTGAGAAATCACCCCCCAGTGGGGATGGCCACGCCGCAATCCCCTCTCCTCCATTCTCCTCTCGGGATCCTGGGCACGCACGCACACGCGCTCCACGTGAGTTTAAGCCACCGGGTCCAGGACTCGAACCGCGGTTGACTACATAGGAGTTCAGCAACACAGTCATTACGCTAACTGCTGGTCCCAAAGATGCTATCTTAAATTCTGGAGGCTAAGATGGATTTATTAATAAATGGTCCTGGCACCAGTAGGTAGTTTTGGAAGAAGATAAAATTAGACCAATAGCTCAAATAATTCACAGGAATAAACTCTAAACGAATTAGAGTCAAAATGAAAAAATGTTATGTTGCAAGCACTAGCAGAAAATATTTTGAAATTCTCTTTAAACCTGATGTAGGAAAAGACTTTCTAATTATGTCTCAAAATTCAGAGATATAATAATGACCAGTTAGTATAAACAAAGTAAAAATAATTTCTGCTTGGCAAAACATAAATTCAAAGGCAACATGTACTATACACTGACAAAGGCTGATTATCTCTAACATGTAACATACTCAAAATTTCAGGGACATATGAAACCCTGCTGGAAAAATTGAGAAAGGGACTTAGACACTTCAGAAAAAAGATACAGTCCTTAAGCATACCGGAAAAGTGTTTAGACTTATTCAGAGTTACAGAAGTATAACTTAAAGCAACATTAAAGTACAATCTTTTACCTGTCAGAATTTTGAAAATTAAAAATGGCTGTGGAGAATTAGGTACTGTCATACATTGTGGGAATGTAAACTGGTACAACCTTTCTTGATATCATTTAGCAGTAATCTGACCAAACAGTATATGCACTTTTGACTCAACAATTCTGCATCTAGGAATCTATCCTGACAGCACATCTCCAAAATTTTTAAAATATATAGGCACAAGGACATCATTGCAGCATTGTTTGCAATTGCAAAATATTGGAAACAACTTAAATGCTCATATAGAGGAGAATGGTTTATTAACTATAGTGCATTCATGCAATGGTGTGCTGTTCTGCCTTAGAATGAGGAAGATTTATGTGAACTGTCATGAAATGATTGTACTGTTAAGTGGGTAAAAATGCAAAGTGCAAAAGAATATAGCTTTGTGAAAGAAAGAAAATATACATGAGTAATAGGTGCCGTTTGTGTCTAAAATGCTGAAAGGGGGACCAGCAGTTGGCATAATGGCAATGTCTCTGGACTCCCATGTAGTTGACCGCAGTTTGAGTCCGGGACCCAGTAGCTTAAACTCACGCTGGGGGTGTGTGTGTGCCCAAGATCCTGAGAGGAGAATGGAGAAGAAGGGATTGCAGGGTGGCCATACCCCCTGGGGGGGGGATTTCTCGCTTACTGTCTCTCTGTGGTGAGCGCACGCTCCCTATAGCAAAAACCTCTTAAAAAAGAAAGAAAGAAATACTGAAAGGAATAAACAAAACAATGAGGTTGGTTACCTACAGGTAGAGGCTGTGAATGGGGTAATAGAGATGAAGCAGGAGTAAAACTTAGCTCTGAGTACATTAATTCCTCCATATCTTTGAGGGATTGGTTCTAGGACTGCCATAGATACTCAGATCCTTCATGGAGTAGTATTTGCAAAGAAATTACCCATGTCTTCAGTATAGTTTCAATCATCTCTAGATTATTTAAAATACCTAATGCAAGGTAAACACTGTGTAAATAGTTATGCTGTATTGCTTAGGTAATATTAACAAGGGGAAAAAAGTCTATACTTGTTAAATGTATACATAACCAACCCATTTTTTTTTTCTTGGAATGCTTTTACTCTGTGGTTGGCAGAACCCTTAGATGCAGAATCTGTAGATATGGAGGACTGACTGTATATACTTTTATTAGGGGAGGGGAGTTACCATTTATGTATTTATTTGTTGTGATTTTCAATCCAATGTTGTCCGGGACTTGAACCACAGTCGGTCATATAGGAATCCAGTGACTTAACTACCATGCCACCTGCTGGCCCCAAATGTATGTACTTTTTGTATCTCTCTCACTGATAGAATGTAGTAATGTTTTATATACCCCAAAATTAAAGAATTGAGATCAACCAGGATGTTTGCCAACCAAAAGTAGAATATAAACAATAACAAATGAATCTAACTCTGTTACAAATGAATAACCTTATGCTGAAAGGGGATGGAATTAAAAAAAAAAACTAACATAAATAACTTTGGAGAACAGTTATTTTCCCTCTATAGTGTAAAACTAGAGCTAAAAAGAGCTGTAAACAAATCCTGCACTGTATTTAGTTTCTCATGGAAGGATGGATGAGAAATTCTGTAATTACTTCATATGAGCATGAGGAATAGACAAATAAGTAAATGTATTATGGATAATGACAACCATATCTGTCACTGTCAGAATTTACAAATAAGGAAAGAAGAAAAACTATACTGAACTCTGGTGTTGGATTGGAATTAAAGATATCAGTGTGAATTTATGATCATTGTATTGATAATTATAGATAGTTGGATAGAAATAGATACACTACTGTGCACGTGCGTGCGTGTGTGTGTATACACACATATATAAATATATTTCCTAGCTTAGTTTGTCGGGAGGGACTAGCAACAATGACTATTTCTAGCAGCAGTGAACACGCTAGCACCTGGATCTTAATGTGGGTGTTTATAGGACCTAGGCAGGGAAACTGCAAGGTAAGCTTTGGAACATCTTGTGATACTGGAAAGTAAGGAAGTATGCAAAAAAAATTTTGCAAGCATGTCAGTGGGACATAGGAGCCAATTTGAACAGTTGGGATTCTTTATAACCAAAAACTAGTACAAGTTTAGAAACAAATAGTTACTGTAATAAAGCAAAGTTGAAAATAAAATGTTATTAGTTCATACCAGTGTGAATTAATAATCGAATAAATGGGGAGAAGAGATACCTCTTATTGTAGAATTTCAATGAATGTATGAGCAATAATGGATATTATCTTCCTGTAAGGTACTTGCTAATTGCAAAGGAACATTATTTGGAATAACTAGCTAGTCCTTTTTGTAAGTGTCAGTGTAATGAACGTCAAAGACCTGAGGATCTGTCCCAGATTGGAAGAAAGTAAGGAGGTGTGCAAA